AGGTTTGAGGAACCATCCCGCTCCAGAGTCTCGGTGTAGGAAGGGAACTCAAAATAAGGAACATAATAGCTGTTTGCGATCAAGCAGGCGCAAAAATCAGAAGCAGCATCGCGGTATTTAAACCGCAACTTCGACCTTGAATCCAGCATTTCGGATCAGCTCTGCCTGACCACTCCGCAGCGACTGCTTTTTTGGACTGTTTGATTGCTTCAGCGTCCAAACGCCAATTGGATTGCAGATTCTCAGATAAACATAAGTTGGCGCATTTTGACATTTCTGACGTCTGCTTTATTGCAATTTCGGTGTAATTTGAGAGTCTCAGTAGGTTTCGTTTATTTTGAAATAATTTGTAGTAATCTGAACATCTTTGCACCAGAGTTTGTGTCTTCATACCCTTCGAATTCAAGTGAAGTGGGTCTGGCATAGCAAAACTAGAAAGCTTGTTATCTCTGGACTTCTTGCAGCATACACACAGGATATTTGTGGCAGTCGTCATTACACTGGCATAGCATAGAAAGCTTGTTATCTCTGGACTTCTTGCAGCATACACACAGGATATTTGTGGCAGTCGTCATTACACTGTAAATCTTTTGGTAGCCGGAAGCAACTCGAGGGCAACTGAATTGTCACTGGATGCCTTCTGATGTTTCACGGGTTCACATTTTACACCAAGTCGCCTTTAGATTCTTCTGGACAAAAAAGGTGCTTAGAGGTGTGCGGTTGACTACTGTGTCTGCAGTTGGAGTTCCATCCGGCGTGGTCTGATTTGGAGTGAGACGGTAAACTAACATAAATTGTTGTACGTATTTTGATGTGATTTTCTCCACTCTCACCTTAGGCGAAGCTGTCTTGAAAGTATTCACGAGACACTCTGCCATGTCGTTTGATTGTAGGGCGTTCCAAAGTGTTCAACTTTACTGGCAAGATCGAAGTTTGCCAATTTTGATGACGTAAACTGCATTACCTAGCCAGGGAACGAGCCTTCCAGAATAGCCGAAAGAGCTAGAACATCTCCCACCTTGTTAACTTTTGCGGTGTCGCCGTTATCTTTATAAAGAAAATATCCGACCACTTGCAGCGACCATCCGCGATTGCGAGATAATTGTGTATGTTCACTGGACCTACAAAGTACATATATATCCCTTACCTGCAATTTGTGGTATAGCCCAACGTCGGAATTCAAATTTTCAAATTTCAAGTCATCGCACATATGTGATAAGACTTGGCGGGTGTTTCGGCTTGTCTATCAATAAGAGATCAATAAAAATCGCTTCGGATCAAAAATTTGATACGGTTAATCTCGGGATGCCCATTATGAATCTGTTGCAAAACAAGCGTTCTCAGCTCCTCGTGTATGACCACGCGTTCTGCATACAAAAGGCAATCATCAACAACCGAAATTGCCAATTTCATTTGATATAAATAAACAGAGTTTTGTTTCTGAAATTTTGCAGTGAATTTGGAGAAGTGGTATTGTACATTTGGTCCACGGGAACAGAAAGCATCCGATGACTACGGTATTGCCTAGGTTCTGTGGTTTTCCGATAGGTTATTCCTCGTCCTCGTCCTAGTCCACCCGGCTGTGCAACATATTTGAGCGTCACTTGCAACACCCGGAGGAGAAAAAACTTCGAATCCGAAAAACGTCTACTCAGATCGCCGGGTCGGGCGAATCGGCTAGAAAATGTGAGCACCAGATGCTAACTCCCTAGTAGCGAGGCTCACGTATTCGTCGGTGCTTGGTGGACAGCGCCACCAGTTAAATCCATGCTTACCGGTTTCTCTCACTCCCACACGGGGATGCAGTATCTCTGGCGCGGCGAACAAAGCACCCGAAAAAACCAAAGTCCGTGCACTTCTAGCATTCGACATGAAGCGTGCAGCTGTGACATTTCCCGGATGCACAGCTGAAATTCCACCCGAACGCAAAATGGATTCTCAAGCGTAGGCAGTAGGAGTTGTGATGCGGAGGCTTGTTCGGCACCATGGGACATCTGATCAGTGAACTCGAGCATCAGTTATCGAGCTATCGCGAGCACTTCTGAGTACCATGAAATTTGGCCTCTGGTTTGTTTGCTGAACTGGGCAATTCGGTTGGAAACATTCCATCACGAGTGGAGGTGACATTGTCAGTGCGGAATGTTTTGGGTTGGATGTCCGTGGTTGTTGCATGTGCGTGGATTGATATGTAATATATCTACTCGAGTGAACCTTATTTGATGATTGGTCGTCTGGGTGTGCATTCGTTTTGACCTGTTGATTGGCCTGTCTTCTGATTGGTGAACATGCAGGAGTGATATACAGGAATTTTGCTTTAGCCCTTTATCCTTGTTATCCGCAACCTTTACGTTTTACGGTGAAACACCTGCGGGATACCGGGACATAAACTGCTACCTAGCTATTTCTGATATTCTGTATACATGTCGCAGTAAACTTACGAGTTGAACGTTGAGTGACTCCAAAAGCAATGAGCCAAGACCGTCATGGGTTTGATTCGAACCTACCTGTAATTTCGTGAGATGCGCACAGCTGATAATTTTCACTAAAAGGGAAACGGATTCACAGTGCTTTCCAGCTTTTATGCACAAACTGCTTTTACTTCCAAGAAGAATTCTCCAACAAAGATTTCCAATTTTTCTCATTCTCTCAAAAAATAGGGGACCGCATCTATCCGTAGTATGGTTGTGGAACACACGAGCAGTTTAGAAACACCATCAGTGGGGAGTCCGAATCGAATCATAATCTGGCACTGAATATCTAAATAGCGTAACCGTGGTTTTGATATACGCAGTTGCCCGGGGCTTTTCTGTGTAATTTAATCCAATGCTCTCTTTCACCGAGGAGAAACGGTCATTAATTCATTTAATTGACTGATAGATCAAATTATAACCGAAATCTATCAGAAAGCCCGCATGGAGCAAATTTGAGAATGTCAACCATTATACAGATTGCGGTAAAATATAGAAGAGCCAGCCTACGTGTAAATGCAAACAGGGCAAGCCAGCTGGGAGTGAGACAGATGTTTACACGGGAGATCATGTGACTACCAGACAGGAACAAAATATTCAGTGGTTTGCTTGACAAGCTGCTCAAAAGCCCTGCATGTGATAGAGATAATGTGTATGAGCCGGGATCCCAACACTGTCGTTTAAATCCCGTTGCATTAACGAATTGAATGTTGATGCAATGGGCTTGGAACTGACTAAATACCGACTCGTAACAAGTGACGTCCTCCGAATATCGCAATCCGTGGGCCTTGGGTAATTGCATGCAGGATGGAAGTGTCAAAAGATACTGCCGATTCACTCATCCAACATCGGGACGCCCTCTACTGAGTGATTGACCGAAGCTGTTGAGCTCCATCCGAAGTGACGTAGAGACTCCGTGAATACCTACGCGACCTGATACCCAAATTGGAAGGCCCTTAGTCAGCTTGCTTGTTTAGGATAAACAAAAATTTTGCGGTTTTTAGAGTAGACTCTCGGATTACGTTATACAATGCATATACGGTTCAAGTGGGACCTAAGATAATGACTTCAAAAAATTAATTTTCTCCTTTGTCCACAGTTACACCTCTAAGTCGGGTAGAGCTGTACATAGTTCCAACGTCCCAATCAAGTCATGCTTTCATTTTATGTCATATCGTTGTTGACGTGATTCAATCACAACCTCTCCAGGGCAACCATAGCAGAACTACTTCCGAATAAGCCCAACGGACAGAAACCACGAAACCTGAAATTATATGCAAACTGTTGGATTTTTTGCACGGATACACACTTCACCTACGATGGAACAAATTCAATTTGAAAAACTCAAAATTGTGGCATATGGGGACACGAGACACGGAAAAAAATTTCTGGAAGCGTGGTACTCCACGGAAGATTCCATCAACAGTTGCATCCACCTGGATCCAATTTACGCACCCACACGTGCAAAAGACCAACATCTCAACCGGTACACTCAAGGAGGATCGAATATTGGATTCGCAAACAAAGAACCGAAGAACCCCTTGAAGGCGAATCAATAAAGTTCACAAGCGGGGACTCGATTTAACAAAGGTCACTTCAGTATTGACCAAATTACGACGGCAAGGGATGTCAAGCTAAACGGTCACGTGTGTATCGCCGAATAGAGACACAGAACAACGGAGCAACCAATAGAACCGCCCGACCAGAAAAATGAATGTTCTGCTAGCAGAACGCATATCAACATGCGTACGGCTAATCAACGCACAACCACTAACACACCACTACGCATCAGTACGATCCCAACAACGCACTGATTAGGTCACCTCGATTGGTAATGGAACGTTTGCAATCAAATTGCTCAGCTCAGCGAACAAGCCATCGACCATCTTCGTAACCTGAGCTACCGACATTTTCCTCTATTGTTCTGTGGATATGATGAACACTTGCGGGATTTCAGAACCGTGTGTCAAAACATAAGCTTAATTATTATAACCTGCTTACCATTTTTGAGTAAGTGGATAAGAGATTCAATCTGCACGAAAAAATTTCCTATTGTGGAGAAAACGATATCAGGTCAAAAATTTCAATCAAAGTATGCTTCCTCAAGTGTAGCGAGTAAGCAGAATACATCCGTTCCAACACCACTGAGGTTAATTTGCACACTGATTCACAAGAAGCGAAAACTCGACGTCCGGTTAGCGTGAACAGGAGAAAAGTGGAAATATGTGTAGTGTTCTTGAGTGGACAGACGAGCGAAAAACTGACCTAACGGCGTTGATCGACTGACCTAGTTTTATTCGCCCTGTGAATCTATCGTGCAACGATACGTCGGATTTTTGGAAGCGTCCTGATGGGTCCACAAGACTTGAGAATCCGGACAGTTTTACCTGAGTTCTTTCGGTTTATACAGGACGATTTCTTGACCGCCAGTTTGATACGACCCATGTCTTGTAACGGTAGCAGAACACGATATGAACCAGTTGTGATTAATTTTATTCTACCACAATCACACAACAGAGTGCGCGTCCATTAGGAGCACACGTTGTGGACAGACTCGATAAGGGTTTCGGCCTCGTAACTCGCCTTGCACAGTTCCATAAGATGAACTGTGTGGTGAGCTACCTCGGGGACCTGAAGACAGATTGATAACAGGATCTCAGCTAGGAAATCAGTTTAGGCATAAAAACGAAAGTTTTAACGCGCATACGACGGACCGAGGATCATACATGACCAACACAGGTGTGCACTGATGACTAAGAATGGCTTCACTCAAACAGTAATATGTTCACATAAGATACATTAAACGTCCGCTAACAGAATTCAGCATTGTCTAGAAAATGTGGCCATTATGCCAAACAGTGTGGAAGACTGCCAGTGAGGCACGCAGAAGATCGAGCCAATAGTAGGCCGGTGAATCTAAAGCGCACACATGAAAGGTGTTGGTGAGTACCGGCATATCAGGATTTTGGAAACTCCGAAGCGCTTTGAAATAAACTACTTCGACGCCAACGGAAAACACGCGAACGTTTTCAGCAAACTAGCAGATAAGTGAAAGTGTATGAACTAGACTAGTGCTACCATAACCGGTTTCATCCAACTTTGGGCTCATCAGATAGACACATTCCCTGAGTTTCTGTCAAATTCATGTTCTTCATCAACCCGAATTGGCTGATTTTGACAAATCCTCTCACTTGCATGCGAATTTGATTTGACAGGAGAGGCAAATAAATCCACTTAAATCTCTTCAATGTGGGTTCGCCTCAACTGAATACACAATTGAACACGAGGGTGAAGGAAACGCGGGAGTTGCGCCCACCTGATGAGATCCAATCAAAACAAAATTGGTCGTGAGCTGTCAAAACCAGCTGAGTAGTTCAGATTATTTTGCTGATAATGAAGTGATAATGAAGGGGTGCCGAACGCCAATGGTTCTGGTTGCAACATTTATCCATCGTAAATGTGGAGGAACAGAAACCGATCAAGACGGTTCAAGGAATTCTGAAATTAGTCGGGCAACTTGGCTTGTTGATAATTCACCAAAGTTATATAAGTGGGTCCTCCACACACAAAAGTCTTGGTTCATTTTGGGCAAGCAATCTCCACCGTTTGATCAAGTCATTTGAAATCAGACGAATCAGTATTTTGCCTGTGTTTTTCAATGCACTTCGTCTGTACAGAATAGTTTTGGTATTTTCAATCAAGATACCTTTTTAAAGCGGTTGTCGAATCATTGAATCTATGCCACTCACTCTTGATGAAACTTATATATTGAAGTGAACTGCCTCGAGTTTCTTGAGTTATTTGGTGTCATCTTATCTTGCCACTCTACTGTTTTATCGCACCTGTAGACTCAACTTTTTGTAGGAACTGCCTCGAGTTTCTTGAGTTATTTGGTGTCATCTTATCTTGCCACTCTACTGTTTTATCGCACCTGTAGACCCACACACAAAAGTCTTGGTTCATTTTGGGCAAGCAATCTCCACCGTTTGATCAAGTCATTTGAAATCAGACGAATCAGTATTTTGCCTGTGTTTTTCAATGCACTTCGTCTGTACAGAATAGTTTTGGTATTTTCAATCAAGATACCTTTTTAAAGCGGTTGTCGAATCATTGAATCTATGCCACTCACTCTTGATGAAACTTATATATTGAAGTGAACTGCCTCGAGTTTCTTGAGTTATTTGGTGTCATCTTATCTTGCCACTCTACTGTTTTATCGCACCTGTAGACCCACACACAAAAGTCTTGGTTCATTTTGGGCAAGCAATCTCCACCGTTTGATCAAGTCATTTGAAATCAGACGAATCAGTATTTTGCCTGTGTTTTTCAATGCACTTCGTCTGTACAGAATAGTTTTGGTATTTTCAATCAAGATACCTTTTTAAAGCGGTTGTCGAATCATTGAATCTATGCCACTCACTCTTGATGAAACTTATATATTGAAGTGAACTGCCTCGAGTTTCTTGAGTTATTTGGTGTCATCTTATCTTGCCACTCTACTGTTTTATCGCACCTGTAGACCCACACACAAAAGTCTTGGTTCATTTTGGGCAAGCAATCTCCACCGTTTGATCAAGTCATTTGAAATCAGACGAATCAGTATTTTGCCTGTGTTTTTCAATGCACTTCGTCTGTACAGAATAGTTTTGGTATTTTCAATCAAGATACCTTTTTAAAGCGGTTGTCGAATCATTGAATCTATGCCACTCACTCTTGATGAAACTTATATATTGAAGTGAACTGCCTCGAGTTTCTTGAGTTATTTGGTGTCATCTTATCTTGCCACTCTACTGTTTTATCGCACCTGTAGACCCACACACAAAAGTCTTGGTTCATTTTGGGCAAGCAATCTCCACCGTTTGATCAAGTCATTTGAAATCAGACGAATCAGTATTTTGCCTGTGTTTTTCAATGCACTTCGTCTGTACAGAATAGTTTTGGTATTTTCAATCAAGATACCTTTTTAAAGCGGTTGTCGAATCATTGAATCTATGCCACTCACTCTTGATGAAACTTATATATTGAAGTGAACTGCCTCGAGTTTCTTGAGTTATTTGGTGTCATCTTATCTTGCCACTCTACTGTTTTATCGCACCTGTAGACCCACACACAAAAGTCTTGGTTCATTTTGGGCAAGCAATCTCCACCGTTTGATCAAGTCATTTGAAATCAGACGAATCAGTATTTTGCCTGTGTTTTTCAATGCACTTCGTCTGTACAGAATAGTTTTGGTATTTTCAATCAAGATACCTTTTTAAAGCGGTTGTCGAATCATTGAATCTATGCCACTCACTCTTGATGAAACTTATATATTGAAGTGAACTGCCTCGAGTTTCTTGAGTTATTTGGTGTCATCTTATCTTGCCACTCTACTGTTTTATCGCACCTGTAGACCCACACACAAAAGTCTTGGTTCATTTTGGGCAAGCAATCTCCACCGTTTGATCAAGTCATTTGAAATCAGACGAATCAGTATTTTGCCTGTGTTTTTCAATGCACTTCGTCTGTACAGAATAGTTTTGGTATTTTCAATCAAGATACCTTTTTAAAGCGGTTGTCGAATCATTGAATCTATGCCACTCACTCTTGATGAAACTTATATATTGAAGTGAACTGCCTCGAGTTTCTTGAGTTATTTGGTGTCATCTTATCTTGCCACTCTACTGTTTTATCGCACCTGTAGACCCACACACAAAAGTCTTGGTTCATTTTGGGCAAGCAATCTCCACCGTTTGATCAAGTCATTTGAAATCAGACGAATCAGTATTTTGCCTGTGTTTTTCAATGCACTTCGTCTGTACAGAATAGTTTTGGTATTTTCAATCAAGATACCTTTTTAAAGCGGTTGTCGAATCATTGAATCTATGCCACTCACTCTTGATGAAACTTATATATTGAAGTGAACTGCCTCGAGTTTCTTGAGTTATTTGGTGTCATCTTATCTTGCCACTCTACTGTTTTATCGCACCTGTAGACCCACACACAAAAGTCTTGGTTCATTTTGGGCAAGCAATCTCCACCGTTTGATCAAGTCATTTGAAATCAGGCGAATCACTATTATGACTTTGCCTTTCAACGGAATTCCTGTTTGCGGAATGATTTTCGTTGTGTTAGACAACACTCATTTGAAGGTGGTCGTCAAAAGATTGAAAACATGAACTTCATTGATATTAAATCATATATGGTGAAATAACTGCATGGCCTTCTACTGTTTTATCGCACATTTACTTCCAGCCTGGTGTTGGATGGACGTCGGATTGCTCCGGAATATGTTCCTCGAATATGTGCGTTTTTAAATAGCAATACTAATAATTTCGGCCAGAATTACTTGGCAAATTTTGCTTCAGTACAGTCCCTAGCGACGATGAACACAGGGACCATTTAAAAATAAGTAGATGTCTCCTCACGACTTTCCAGTTTTACTTTTGACAGCGGGAGCTGGAACACTGAGCTGAACTGAACTGCACTACGTTGAACAGAACTGAATTGTGCTAAACTGCATTGAACTGAGCTCAACATAACTGAAGCTAACTGAACTGACCTAAAATGGAACTTATTGAACAAAACCGAAATGGACTAAACTAAACTGAACTGAACTTATCTGATCTGATCTGGACTGAACTTAACTGAACTGAGCTGAACTGAACTGAACTGAGCTGAATTTACCTGAAATGTATGGACCGGATCGGTACTGAACTGAACATAACTGAGCTAAAATAAACTGAACTGAACTGAACTAAATCGAACCAAACTAATCTGAACTCAACTGAACTGAACTGACCAGACCTGACCTGACCTGACCTGACCTGACCTGAACCAAAATTAACTGAACAGAAGGGACCTGAACTAAACTGAACAGCACTGAAATGAAATGAACTGAACTCGGCTCACCTTACGTGACGACAAGGGTGAATGCAATGTATTCCATGTTGTAGATATTTCCGCATCCTCGCTTCCGAGCAACACGAGGTCAACTCACCTGCTGAACTGTGAAGCAGCGTGTCTTGAATTGATCGAATAAAGCCTCGAAGCAAACGAGCGCATCACTCTTGGACAAGCCCCTTAACGTTGGCTTACGTTGGGTCCTTACATCCATGACGATTTCGCGAAACGTTTCCTTAACGATGTGGCCTAGCTGAAAGAATCAAGGAGAATAGTCGCGGGAGGTTGTAGGTGGACTATAAGCGATTCTTGCGCATTTAACCGAGTTGTGTTGGATTTTGGGTGGGTTTGTTAAACGGCCGCTGATGAGCGTTTATTTGCCCTCATGCATCTTCAGCGCCTACTTCCTACCACACAAGTAGACTCTTACCTAAAATAATCTTTCATTATGCATTCAGTTACCTTATTGAGATCAACTGGAACTGAAAAGGACATACAAACCTGAAGTGCACGGTGCAGCTTTCGCCAAGCGGTTTCATGTTCATCCTCGGTTGCGGCCTCCATCAATCGCCGAGACTTTGAAAACAACTGCGCCTGGTAAGAGGGCTTACTATCTACAGGATTCGGCTGGAACCAAGAAAACAGTTGAGCAGCATTTACTGTCAACAGGAGCTTTGTCCATTCTGGTTGCAATAACCGACTTCCTAGACGAATCACTATTATATATATGCGGGTATGTTATAATGTATGAATGCATGTATGCATGTATGTATGTATGTAACTTTGTGTACGTTATTATATCAGAGAAGCTGATAATTATTATACACTAATCAACGGAACTATTGTAATACCGCTGTAACACCGCTTGGACTATGAAGTAGAGGGTCTGGTCGGTTCGTTGAATGTAGGAATAGGTACTTGCTTTCACCTAACCGCAAGGCCTTTGCCACTGAAATTCTACGAGCACAACCGGGGCATTGCCGTCCATTCGTCTGAATGAGTTCACAGGTGCCGAAATTTCGTTTCCTTGCTGAAAACTGGTACTCTAATTCGTGACTAGCAAGCGGATTGGCAGCGAGTTTGCCCTAAATTCTCCAAGTTATTGTCCCTCGATGTGAGTCGCAGTTCGAATGAAGAACCCACTGACTTCGTATATACCCACTGAAAATTTACTAACGCTCAAGATTGCCCCGACGTTTCTCCGTTATCCTCATACATGGGAACGGCTCAAAGATTTTAGGTCACTCTTCGTACACGAGAGCCTGCAACTTGTGATACAACGGATGGCCAGTTTCCAAGCATCTGGACGTGGTCCACACCCTCCTGGTAGTGCGGGGATTAGGTCGGAGCACACGTTGGCACGGCGTCACACAACTTCAAAAATATTGGGAAATACTTAGCGACGCTTCGAAACCACTAAAGAATGCAGCTGAGAAAACATCCTTCTGCTGCACGCCGCCGCAGTTTCACATTGGCTAGCCACTTTAAAATCTCTGCCAGTAAAATTTTCGGGCGAGGCGCGTAAACACTCGTGAAATCACGTTCGAGTCTCCAATTAGTGCATGTGGAACCACGAACCCCCGGATCTATAATGGGTCAATCTACTGCCGTAGTCAAGTAAAATTCCACCTGTGAAAATATTTAGACATTTGAAACAAACCATATGGAGAGACTTATCGGATGAACCATGTTGTTCCCAAGAACTCTGATTTCCATCACAACTGAGCCAATCCTAAAAATCAGCATTCTGTGGCGATATCGAATCGGAAGGTGGTGGGCGTTTATGTCACATAATTGATTGTGACAATCTGTTTCTAACCAACCCAACCTATTGGACTGCTATTGGTGTGTGGATCGGTCACGTGGTTCCTTAAACAGATAATGGAGTAAGAAAAGACTGTTTCAATAGAAAATTCAAAAGATCAATAACCTTCTTAAACGCATACCGTAATTGACCTATCATTTCGTTTTTTCAGTAGATCATAATGACCCTGGAATTTTCCAACAGGGAGTTTTCCCATCCCCTGAAATAAACAATAAAGGGACGCTTATCAGTGCACAACCACACAAACTATTCGGCAGAAAGTACAAATAGGTCATTCACGACTGGTGTGTACACAGAAGTGTGTTTTAACTAGCTATGGGGCTTGAACGTCTGACTGAATCTTTTAACTCAGGTAGACAGTTCGTTAAAATGTCATCAAATTGTATAGTTTTAATTTGAATTGCGCAACGATGAGTCTGTGACGTGCTTGTGTCGATCGTTTGTTCCCGGGTTATTGTGCACTTCCGCTTCTTGCCACCTGGCAGAACATTCACATTTGAATGAATATGTCCCCCTTTCAGTGAAGCTAATCGGAGCTGATAAAACGGCAAGCAGTGTATAGCTGTTTCCTATTTAGTGGGAGTCAGCAAGAAGGCGCATCTCATTCCAGTAGGAAATTACCAACCGGCGACCTTCTGACCAATGGTTGAATACTTGACCGTTCAACCACAAAAGATTGATCAGTAGTATGATCGGATTTAACATGGACAGCACACAGCGTCATCCATTCCTCAATAGCGGAAAACCACATCACGTGGTCACGTACTGACTGGCTCCTCGATGGTTAACGTTTAAGAAGGAAGTTTCAGTCATCGTGGCCACCTTGCTGGGATTCGTCTATGGAACCAGAAGTCCCCAATAAGCTATTTTCAACCTTGAATACAAACATTCAAAAAACAACGCAATGCAACTGTCACCTCGACAAATGCAGTCATTTTCATCAAAGTATGGTTTTTCATGTTGACTCGGCTGAATCTCTCCGTGACATTTTGTTACTCACCATCTCACCGTATTTCATCACGTGGCTGTGCGTTGTCCTCTTTTTTACCTCCTCGTACTGTTGATCCAGAGAACGCTTTTTCATGTCTTTCTGTGATAGATGACGACAAATGGGGAATATGTTAATCGAAGTCGTGAAATAATCACTGTTGTTAAGACATCTGAGTTATGGAACGACACACGCTGCTGATGAAACAATGAGCACTCCGCTGTTCCGGGACAATTTGCACATAAACACAGGACTTGACGCTCTAGGGCAGCCATCATCACTGCTATCATCAATGCTCCGCTACCATACAAACGTGCCAAAACTTTAGTGGAAAAAGGAAGGATTATGGAACAGGAAGGAAAACCTAGGGCTACAGTAAACACGGGGAATACTTACACCTCCGACGCCCAGTCAGACAATTTCGATAAAAACTGACAGCGTGAACGTCACCGACATCGCTGGGCTTACTACAAACATTCGGATGCGCAAACGCTTCTTACACGCCCAAAAAGGCACAATAATATTCAGGCGGACTTCATTTGAAGGGAGCAACCTCCACTAATAGCGCCCAGACTTTGATGGACTCTTTCTCTCTCCACAACGTGAACCTGATCGGGAGGTTACTGAGACATTTTGGACATTCAACGAATGGTTTCCTTAGTTTCAGAATTCCGAGAGGTCGTGATGGCTGAATTTCCATAAACCTCTCATGCTTTTAAATAAAACTGCCACTGGGTTTGTCGGTAGTGGTGGTGGTGGTGAGTAGTCATTTGCAGACTGAAATGTTCATAAAAGTTTTGTTAACAGTCGCACAAAATATGCCGCAACTTTGAAGGGAATCGGTTCCACGTACGGTGCCACAGAAGGATCAAAATTACTCAAATCAATACAAGCTATCCAGAACTAAAGCACCGCACACTTTTGCACGTTCTATATGTATTCTGAGGTTCAGTTTTGGGATAATTAGACCGGCTTACGTTGCCGAAAGCGTCAGGTACTATGTTGCCAAGTAATACACACTGCGAGGTATTCATCAACTGAATGATTGCTGAAATGGCACAGGCACTAATGTGCGAGACTAGGGAATGCTGTGCAGCATACGTCCGAAACTTTTGGACCGAGTGTTCACAGATGTCAATGGTATTTGCTGACACCCGAAGACGCTCGATCGGGCAGTCAACCAAAGATTAACACTTACCAATAGAGTATGGCCAACTTATTTAAAATACATAAATAAGTGATTTAGAGGATCAAATGGACTAGCACTGGCTACTGAACAACACCGTACTACCCGTCCACAACAAGTTTATCTCCAACGGTTTTGATAAAACTCACGTATTCCGAATCTGTAATCCAGGCATACGTGTATTCGTTCGCAAGACAAATATCGAATCGCTTGTCCATACAAAAAGTTGACCAGCTGTCTTCCTTTTCGTTGGATGAAGTTGTCACGTAGACTGCAGTTGTGGGGGGTTTAGGCAGCAGAACAAATCGACCAATATCAAAATTGGGAAACGGTTAAGTAAATTATCGACGAACTGACTCTGCAACTCACGGAAATAGAAAAGGACTGAGAAATCTAGAATAAACACACTACGCAGAATTTTGCTGAAAAAAAGTTTTGACAGAGCAGCATGATTTGGACGCTTCTTAAGGATAATCAGATAGGGGCAATTCTCGATTTTCTCTGAAACGTAATTACTTGTGTAACCCATATTGGACGAAAATTGTCAGTTACTCCTACACAAGACGTTCAGCTGGATGCAGTTGGGTAAGCCTGTCAAAAGCAAATAAGTGTGTAAATGTAAAATCTGTATTATTCATTGTAAGATACTACTCATAACAGACCACTGACGAGACTAGTTAAAGTTAGTCGGGTTACACGAATTAGACTGCATCCAACTGACAATGGAGTTTGTTGCTCAAAGAGAACAAAATATCACAGGTGTTGCACCGGTATTACGGTGGCTGAGACTAATCCAAAAGCAGAAGTGACATTAAACGATGAGGGCTTATTTTTGTGCAATCCCCGGCGAAACGCTTCTCGTATATGACCAGGGACTACCTCCATACTAGGATTACGAAGAGAACGAGAATGAATCAGGCTTGAATATTTCTTGTTTTACCGGCCAGTGCCATCATGTCCAGTGTAATGTAGGCTAGCTACACTGCTGTCGGTAACCTAATTCTTCCAGGGAAATTCGCACGCAAGAACCAATGTTAGAACGAATAATCTTGCAGATACAAAATCGGAATAATAAATTATCAAGCCCATCATATAGGATATTTTAGCCCTTATCACCTTTTACGAAATTTTATTATATTATTATTATTATATTGATCCTGTCATAAATCTGTCCCAAAACAAGAAAGAAAATTATCGTGAGCATATGTTTCCCTGGAATATCTGTGCCATCATGTCCAGTGTAATGTAGGCTAGCTACACTGCTGTTTCAACTACAAAGCGCACCACTGATGATTCCCAAAAACGACAGAACAGGTGTACTTTGCTTCACGAGTTTTCATAACAGACTGCATTCACATCTATAATATAGGAGGACACCCCCAAACTACCAAAAATTCGCGACGTCTCTCGAGAAGTAATGAAGAGCATCTTGTGTTCGTATCACCTACGCCTTATGAGCGACCGCATACGACCCGATTCTTCGGCATCTACGTTTGCTCAGCATTCTAAATAGATCAACGGCAAAACTATATGAGGTGAACGCCCTTGAGCTTAATAAACCAAAATTTATTTGACGTTATCATTTAAAGCACCCTGGCAAAACCTACCATATACTAGATAAAGTGACATCCGAACCTAGCAGCATCCGGTCCATTTTTCGGTTGATGTGGTGGCCGCTCGTTATTATATGCTCCCTATTATAAAGAATTACGGATGACTATGCGCCAACTTATGTTTATCTGAGAATCTACAATCCAATGGCAGTTCAGCTTCCTATTGAAAACACTGTGTTATGACCGTAGTTACCAATATTAACTAAACTTACTATATCGTTTGGGAATCCGATAGAGCGATAGGAACCGTGGCCAGAGAAGAAAATGAAAACGTTGTCATCAGGTCCGCTGTAAGTGAAAAGCAGTTTTGAGGTGGTCTTGAAGGGTGGCTTATTGAATTGTGCTCTCACGCATATGATAGCGGAAATGGGAATTTGATATTAATGTTCTCGAACAGCGTGGGTTTTATTTCCCGTTGCAGGAGCCGACGAGTTACATACTCGGCCTTGGCTAACTGGTGATTACGGAAGGCAAAATAATATGAGAAGATTCGCAGTTCTTTTCTGTCGGTTGCGGATGGAAAATCACAACAGAAAAGCCGCAGAAATGGAAAGATAGCGAACGCGCAGCATAGAAAATCGGCTGACTTCTAAGAGCATTTGGTGAATAAAAATATCCTGTGACCTGGATCACTAGAATTGTGACTGTGATTAACAAGTGCGTCAACAATGTGAACTTCCGCGCGAACTCACCTTTTCAGCAATTTCTTCCCCTTGGCTTCAAGATCCTTATCTCCTTTCAATACTTTCAGAAAGTTATCCGGTGTTACTTCCTAAAACAGATAAACAGGTATGATCAATTATCCTTGAGACAATGGTTTGCTCCGCACTCATTATATCCACAATAGCCATCCACTTGCAGTCTAGCAAGTAACGGAAATTTAGCAGCTGCTCTCCTTATTCACTCAGATTACTTTCACGACGGTAGCAGAACGCTGAGAAGGAAAGAGTTCGAGAGTTGGTCTGTTAGATGAGTATTGGAGTTGGACTTGCTCCTCAAGCCTAATGTTTTTAGTTTAGTCGAGCGAAAATCTCCTGGAAGCACGCGTCTACCTCAGTAGCCGGAGAATCAAACACCCATGAGAACTGGGCGGTATTTTACAGTGAGCACGTCCCGCCAGCAAACAACTAAATTACAGTTAAATATCGAAATTATAATATCTTCTAACTAAATGTGATGGTTTGGACACGCTGCTTGGTATGGTTGGTGCACCAATTGAACAGGAATCTACTCATAAGGTTACAGAGCTCTCCGAAAACCAACAATCTATTTGCCCTATCAAAGCCCTTCAGGCAGGTACAATCTCCGGTGTTACATCACATACGTTTTCTAACAATGAATGAGACTGCCGTCTCCGGCAGGTAAAGGTGAAAATTATCAAAGACGAGGGATTCAGCTGGAATTCCTTCGAGTCTCTCGTTAACGTTAAATATTTTGCAAAGAGAGTTGCGTGATAATTTGATGTGAACGTTGGACATGAGGTTGACGGCAACTTGTGAAACGACATAATTCCACGCCGACACAACAGTACCGTTATTAGCTTGGAATTTATTGTTCACTCGATTATTCGGGACATTGAACACCTTGCTGCTCTATTATCAAGACGAGCTCCCATTGGAATTAATAGCCAAACCTGACCCAGTCTTCATCGAATGATCCCCGCCAATGGCGCATTCGGGAGGCGCTACAGTTTAAAAATAGTCACCGCATACGCATCATGAACGACGCGCTATATCTGGTTCCGGTCACTGATGAACGCTGTAAAATTCTGGTGGTTCTTTTGACAACAGCGCTGGCTTGGAAGCTTTGAAATGAGAACTACGCTGTGAAAATATACTGAGTCTAATTGTAGGCCGCCCGCAGAATCTCGAACTCGGTCGTGGTTTGCCCAAGATAACTTTATAACCTAATGACTCGTGTTCGTTCTGTGTTAGAGTTAAACGATTTGTGTGCCCCACGGTTAACTTTGTGTTTTCATTCGTAATGTCACGTTACTTGCACCTTCTGTTACATTATGAATAAATTCATTTGATTGCTGCTCAGTGACTTACATCTGCACGGTAGTCAATTATCACACCCTTGTAAACATCTTCGTGCTCGTAGTCATGGAACACCTTGCCTGGAAAAGGGTTTCTGAAATAAAAAAAACGAAAAGGCGCGGTGAACTTTTCGGAAATAAAGTAACATGTATCCCAGTTGAAACAAAACTCAAGGCTCGTAAATTCTTTTGGAAGTTTGCTCCCGATCTTGTTTTTGAATAACGGTTCACGACCATCAGTTCACACTTTGTCACGTTCTCGATTAAACGTAAACTGACGATCTTGGTCGCAACATTGATGTATAGATTCTACTATAAAACCGGTGGCAGACAACATAGAATATTCCAAATTTTGTGTGAAAAGGTAATTAGTTTATATACATATACAGCGAAACACCGCTAGTAACAGATTATATGAGCATATCCTCATCCTGTGCCCTTGAATGTTATTCAATTGGGGAACAAATGACTTCCGACTATTACAGCGTTCAAGCAACAACCAATCTTTCATGTCTCTCGAAGGTTTTCCGCCACTAATCCTAGCAAACTGCTGTATTGCAAAAATGCTAAGACTACTAGATTATCTGCTTAAAGCTCGTTCCAAATCATCAGCTGGCGGATGAACTCAAACGACATTTTGTTATCGATGTCATTCATTTCACACTACTGACAACTGAAAGGTAGTAAAAACATTATTTACCAGCGAGGGTGTACCACAGTTGCTGCATTTGAATCTTGTATCCATTCTGCTGGTTGCACCAAGGTTCTATGGCATTTGCATTCATAAAAAACATGGAAGAAAATAACCTTATCTGACATCTGAAGTGACGCACGACACTTCATAAATTTCAGTAAGGCGACTTCATCCATGCAACATATGTGTCGGAAATACGGCTCAAAAGCCAAACAACGAAAAGCGCTTTCTACAGTCTAGTTACTATCAGTATCGAAAATTGTAGGCTATATTTACTTGGGATTGTTTGCAATGTCGTCGTAAGCGAAGGTAATTATATTCTCCGCTGGAACTTTGTTTGCACGCACGACTTGATACGCGTGGAAAACGTCCGCCTGATTAGGGATATAAATGAAACGTGAAATAAGGACAACAGGCCGACTGGGGCATAGCGGTTAAAGGAGGCAAACAGAGTGACTAGAAATATGCATACTTGGTGGAACATCAGTCGTTTGAAAAGCATTTGGATGTCCTATACCTGTCCAATAATTTGAGAGTAACAAGCGCGTGTTGTCGTCAATTATGTGGTTGAATGTGGGCACGCCAGCTTACCGGTCACATATTGGTTGCTGCAAGCTTGAACTACAATGTTTTGGAGTTTCACTTATGCTTTCACCCTTATTGAGAATTTTGTGGTACATCATCGAGCAGCTGATTAGCTTGCGCCGCGGTTTGATGGGTATTCTCTAATGAAATCAAAACGACTAAAATCGTCATAAGTTTGGTAAATCCATATATGTTGTCGATACTGTTTCGCTGCACTGCGTTTATCAGTTTATTCGAGCGCCATCACATGAGACAACTTTGCTTCATCGGTACGACTTCAGCTTCCACGGAATGCTTTCGTGATAAACCGTCAAAGTTGTTTTCCATATGCCAATGTGAAAAAAAATAAACTGTCAATTTTTTTATTGGAATGGTGTTGGATTCACTCATCTGACCGTCTGCACCACCAGTCCAACTAGCCTTTTGGGATAAAGGCTTTAATCAAATACGCTAATGACTAGCTTTCTATCTCCTGGTGTTCTGTTGTACCGGCGGATAATACTGACGAGGCACGCGGGTAGTTTGCGGTCTTCTTGAAGCTCCGCGGTTCGCCAAATTGAAGGTTAATTTTAGTACTGAACCTGTGGAAATGTTTTGCGGTGTCCGTTTACAATAACGTACTTTTCACTTTCTTAAGACTTATGAGAATTTTCAGTTTTGAAAAGCTATGAGCAAAGGAGACGTTTGTTTTCGTGTGCAATAATACTAACTCCTTAGTTGGTATTTGCGAATAGACACTTCTCAATGAAGGGCATTCCTCCTTACACTGGTAGCACCACAGGCTAATTTCAAGTATGGTTTACACAATTACAAGTGATCTCATGTCACATTCACCGCGAGTGGTGTCATCAAACTGGTTGCATTGTCCTCCGTATACCTCGGGGGGAGTAAGCATAAAAAACTATAAAAAACGCACGAGGTCCTTAGACGCTCCGAAATTATTCTGTAGTCCGTCTGTCAATCTAATGCAAGCTTCACATTATGCTTGTATGCTTGACTCGCTTTCTGTTATTTTTCTCAAAATGAGGATTATAGGTCCCACTAGGTTTACTGAACTGATCTCTCCATGGGTTTGCGCCTGCTTCTACTTGCGCGCCTCTTGTGATATGAAAGCCGCTGCTGCTTGTTCCAGGCCCCCAACCCGATGATACAGTACCTTCTCACAGCTTCAAGAACATCCCGTAAACACGCTGTACGTTCTTTCTCTCTGCTGAATAACAGAGAGAATGTAGCGCTCATGCCTTCACATATGGTATTTACGGTGTTATGACTGCCTTGTTTCGGTGAGATAAGAGCCCATATGGTTTTGTGGTTGTCGGAGACATGAATGCACACGTAGGCAAGCTTGGCGTTTCGCGACTCATTCGGGTGAGTCCAGGACCGGAGTCAAAATGCACGGCTTACGGCGAATGACCTTGACAGTTAGGTGTTGAAGACGGGCGGGGTTTACTTTAGGTAACAACAGAAGCAACTTCGTCATGCGGCGCTCCTTTTCTCAAACCAAGCTAAAACCCCGGCAGACGTCATCGATTTTAGCTAAATTTGGAGACGCTCATTATGAATCACATTTGTAAACCTGGGTCAAACGCTTCTTGGTCGCTGATTTTGATTTCACTCTTGCTGTAATTGGATGATGAGCATACCCCAGCTGAACAGTAAGAATTCTAGAAAAACTAAGCGCCTACATGATTTAAGAAGCATTGAGGGCAGAAGAGGTGAGTGAAGGAAAAACCGCTTGGTTTGTGTCTTCCCCATGCCAGATAATACACGCAACTAGCCCAAAGCGGATTTCCCTGAGCCAAGAAATCATTGATATACATGAATAAACATTGAATCAAACATCATCAAAAATTAATCGATTGACATATTGCATTTTAAACAAGCTTAGTTGATTCGATGAGGCCCTGCGTGAGTGTATCTGTCACCTCGGATTTGGCTTAACTTCCGTTGTGACAAGAATATTTCCTCTACCTACTTTGTTGTTTCACGAAGGAATTCGAAATCAGGGCCAGGAAGAAGGATTCGTGTTTTCCACGGTTTCCTTGGACCGCGGCCTAAAATTCGTTAAATGTCAGAACGACGACATGCTTACTCACTGAATCCTTTTATTGGATACAGACACACTCAATATGCGTAATCGTTTTGCCTATTATTCTCATAACAACCCAATGCGAATAGGCCACGAGCGGACGAGTAAGTTTAATCGAAGTGGTGTCCCGTATAGTTATTTCAATTAAAAACTATAATTTACGTTAGTGCGGGGTCTTGGAGATTTTTCCTAAAATTTTCTTGCTTAATGGAAAACCTACCTTCTATTCGTAGATCATTATTTCAGCTAACATAACGCAGTACAAATACTTATGGATGACGATGTGGGTCTCCGACTATGGTTAATCACGGAATGCACCTGAGTATCATCTGAGTTTAATAGGTCAGGAGAATCGACCTAACACAAACCGAAATACCGTAGCGTTACCAATGAAAACTGTCGAAAGTGAACAAACCACTAAATGTGCGTCTATTATTTGGCATCTATCCAGCAATTTTTCCAGTGGAATATTGTAGCAATAGAGGACATAAAGAAGACAACTGTTTGGGGTGTCATTAGTGCAAATATCCACTATGGAAATCCTTCCGCGTGGTTTTAGAAAAATGTTTTCAGCATCAAACAAATGAAAGACCAATGTAAATTTACTTGATGCCGATAATTTTCCCAGGTTTTGGAACCAGCAACAAGCACAACCCAGTTCTTTGACGGCTTGCTTTGAAATATCGATGAAAAATTGCGGAAACCGGCGGCTTTCAAACATGCAGTATGGTCAATGCAGAACAACAACGCGATAATAAGCGAAAAACAGCGCATCGTATTCAGCCTTACTTGAAGCTTCATGTGCCTGGTATTTTGTACTGTACGTCTCCTATGAAACGAACTTTGCCTTACACGTGCATGAAGATAGTGTGAAAAATCTGTCCACCATAAATCTAAAAGGTCTGCGGTACAATGTCTGAGCAACTCACGGTATGAACGGCCATTTTGATCACCTTGTTCCATGACTGATCAATTGGGCAAAGTTTTTTCAACAATGTGTGAACAGTCTGCGTGTGTGCGATTTGTAGTGTATTCTAGGACGTTCATTAATCGCATATGACATTAAGACAGTATTGAGCAGTAAACTGAGACTGCAAAGGGGTTTCACATACCGGTGGAACCTTTACTTTCCATTGGGAGATTGGCAGGGTTTTTGGTATCCAAAATACCTAGTGACAATATGTATTTCGCAAATTTGCATTTTAGAAACTAATCTGTTCCAAAAATGGGAAGTTCTCAAAAGCTGGGTACTGCGTGAATCGACGCATTCATGACGAGTCTGGTTGATTTAAGTGAGTGGAACCGAAAGTCACTCACAGCTATGAATAAACGAATTCACTTATTATGGAATTGGTTAGCACATCACTAGATTCGATGAGCCCTCTCAAGTTAGTGGAAGTTTGCACTGGGACTTCGCTGTTTTTTCTAACTTCCGTTTTCAATTTTCCAAATCGGAGGTGCTCGGGGCAAGATTTGATTTTATCCTATTGTGATCAGAAAGCATAGAAACCTACAAACCATAAATCTGAAATTACTGTGAATGAATTATTATTAGGAGTTGTCGTATTTACGGTGCCATATTTACCTGATTTCGCCCATACAGTCATCACATCACTATATTTGAAGATAATCTACTGAAATTGCAAGTGACAAAATGGCCGATTTAATATTGGAAACAATATAATAATGGTATCATTTAGCTTCAGCTCTATTTTGGTATGCAGGCGTCATATTGGCCGAGGGAAGCACAAGAGCTGAGCAATCTAGGTTAACCCAAGTGTGGAGAGGAAAATCAGAGGTCCGGAAGCTAGACTTGAAAAAACGGTCGATAATTTCGAGCCCTAAATAGTAATGTATCCTGAGGGACTTAGCGGACTCAAGCAATTTTCTTCGGATGAGATGAAGTTCAAACTTGTTCCAAGGTTTCGCATATTAGATGAAATGTTATTACCATTCCACACCACACTCAATGTTAACATTTTCCGCCTCATTTCACTGTGTAGAACGGCATCACGTTTTCCTTCGATATCGATCTGAGCCATGACTAGACCGTTAACTAGTATTTGACATTCATCAAACGGCTAATCACTACCCCACATTGATAAAGCATACCCAACACAACACGGGCAATTGGGCTTCATTTTCGTGGTATATATCATCATCATCGTAATTGTCATCATCATCATCATCATCCGCGACAGCACGACATAAATGTTGAACACTACTGCCTTGCCGCTCTACAACCGCGATTTATTTGAAAGTCTTACTGTAAATGAGATGAATGAAGGTGAACAGTGCACGGAATTGTTGCTCGCTCACTAAATTGTTCTCGGTGGCTAAAGCTCCAAGCATGAATTCAAACAACCTAAAGAAGGACAAGAATGAGAGTAACATTCCTTATCCTGCAGAATCTTCAGATGGATTTGGTTTCACGAAGGTCTGAAATCTGCGATCGTTGCAAAAGTTTTTTGGGCTTCAAAAGCTTTATCCATTTCAAGACATTTATAGTAAATTTTCTATGTTCGAACGAGAGTTTCACGACCACTGGAACGTGTATCTTCCGAGTCCGTCGTGAATACACCTTATCCAAATAACGAGTTCACGGACGGTGTCATTTTTGCAATTTGGCCACTTGTCTGACGGAGACCCTATTTGTATACAAGAAATCCTTGTCTTTGGACGAGGATTTATCCTACTTTATGTATGATGTGAGCTCGAGTGTTTTTTGCGCTGGGAATCAACGAA